CCTTGACCCAGAGCCTAAGCGATACATCCATTGTGTTGCTCCTCGATTTGGATAACTGGTGTCGTTTTCTGTGCTAGGCAAAGAACATCTTTGCGATACTAAATGAAATTTGAGAGTCGTTCAGAAATGATGATGATGATGGCTTCCCTTTGTTTCCTTTCGCGCATTTCTTGCCCCAGGAAGTTAGGTAAAAATTCTTGTTGAAAGTCTGTACTCGTGACTCTGCTTTCAAACTTTGACTCATTTCTGAACCTCGTTTAAATGCTCATGTTCCACAAGCGTCGTATAAACTTTATTCGGTAACATATGGCGTTTCCGCGTTAACTGCGCGAGGGAAGTACTCCTTCTGCGAGAGCATCACGTACGTGTCGCGAGATGATGATTCAATACAGCTACCTACTGTCACGCTACCGCATCATCGTTGTTGTCGTCGTCGTCGTGTCCTTGGATCGAACGACGCTGTGAAATGACAGACGCCCGGTTTCGGAGGGAGGTGCAGGACGAGCAGCTGTAATTCACGTTCACTCTTAAGCTTATGTCGAATGTCGGATGCTCTATCACCTGCCTGTCATGGTCAGCCGCCCGTCCGATCGGCGAGTTTGGCTAATAGCATTCGCAATCAATAATAAAGATGGATTATGAAAGCCGTACGTCTTGCACCGCATCAAATTCATAATTCGATGTCAGATCATCGTACCGTTCCGTTTGCTTCCCAATCTCATAATCGAAGATTTTGTTATGCCCCCCCCCCCATTTTTTGCACATCCTAATGCACCTCTGACCTTGAACTGTGTCAAACGAAATTTTTCCGCCGAGTCCGGTTTTGCAGCGTGTTTAAGTGTCGGAACACGCTATGGCGATGAGGCTTTTCGGAGGCTTCACTTATTCGATGACATTAACTAGAGTCTGTTGCTGTTCTGCGACTGCAAAAACGCTTTGGTAGGTTAATTTGCTACAAAGGAAGTCAGTCTAACACTGACAATGGAGGTACATAACCAAAACTGAGTACCTTAGAGTCATAAACATATTCCATAAACCATGTTGTCGAAACCAACAGTGGATATGTCGTCTGACACTACGGCTGGCTGAAAGAACAACAAAGGAAAAAATCTTTAGGCGCAACAGTTCAAAGGAACTTTGTATCATGGGGGACATGAACAACGATGGAAAACTTTAAAAATCTCCTCTTTCTATAGGACCAGGTGTCGGCTGCACCTCCCAACCTTCATCAACCAGTTAACATAACTCACTTTTATAAGTAATGACTACCAGTCCGATAATATGTCAGTGATACTTCTGGTCTTCATTATCTATTGTCTTGTACTCGCCATCTTCCGCAAGTATTAACGAAATGGCCTTTGATACCCCTGCACCTATATTGTTGACCAGAACTAATACTGACGTAACGCCGGACAGCTGACCTCTTCATGTAATAGTAAAGGAATCAGTACTATTATTAATGGTAAGTTTCAGTACTCACCTGATGAAGGCTGGAATCTCTATCCGAGAATTGGTCTTGTCGAAACAAAGTTTTTTCCTATGTCAATACTTCAGGTAAAGATTCTCCATCTTTGTTTAAACGGAATTCGACCAAACTGGCATCGGTCATTATGAACGAATGTGTTATATTTAAATGAAGGCACTTCTTTGGCAGTTTATTTCAGTTCGCCACGAATTTAATAAATTGCAAATCTTTCGATGCGATGGGTTTAGTCGCAAGACAAACACTGATGTTTAAATTCGCTATTTTCTTAATGCCTGCGTTTCTGCCATGCAAAATAATGGTCTTTCTCAAATAAAGTATATGAAACATTCGAATAGATGATGCTACAGTAATGCTAGGTTTGTCAGGTAGCTTCAATAAATGAATATGGGAATTATGAAGGCCACTGTTGGCAACATGAAGATGTTTTAACGCCAGCCTTTGCCTGTATTTGAGCATCCCAGTTTTCGAAAGAAAAGATATGCAAACTTTCAAATTACTGACGTTTAATGACAATTATAGTTATTGAGAATGAAACTCTCCACCGAAAGGATGATCAAAGAAACGAGTGATAGTACTCATGGAAAGTGAGGGTCTCTGAGACTCATGTGACCGTCAGGGTTTATTGACGTTCACAGTCACGTTTTTATCAGCATGAGCTCGTCGTTCCTCAGCATACTGTTGGTTGCTTTTTCGTTGTTACACCTGTCGCCATTATTCTTCCTGCTTTCAGCCGGCTCCAATGACGTCTCGAATCGCTACTTCCGCCTCCGTCTATCATGGGCCATCTTTACCACCTAGTTCGGCCAGTTTTTCTTCGATCATTTGTATTCGTACGCTACGACTCAGTGAGGACTTCAACGTTAGTTCTAACAGTGTCCTTTCTGGTCTTAACTTGCCCGTCTCTTTTCCGGTGCCTTCGAGTGATAAGAATGTTGTTTAATGTAGTGGAGAAGATATCTTCTGATTGACGACTCATTGCATATGCAAACCAATGCTGTCGCCATCCTTTCAGGATAGCAGAAAGCTAGATGATGTTGCAGCCGGCAGGAATTGTGGCATCGGTCAGTCATGTCCTCGAGATAATTCTAAACACCAATGGTCGAAGGATTTTAGTTTCGTCATATTTTTGATCCGTATGGCCCAGCTCTCTTGTCCATAGACAATGATGGAACGGATGCAGTACTTTTACTCGGTATTTTATCTTCAGGCTGATCTCCCGTCATTTCCACCGTGACCTGGAGGAAGGCCTCCGTTGCTGCTTCTATCTCTGATCCGTAATTTTATCTTCAGACTGTCCACTGGAAAGGATGGAGGAACCAAAGAAGTATTACAAGGCTGTGCCTTTTGAAGGGGAACAGCATGCAAGAGGATAGGCTTTTCTCTTCAATCATTGCTGCATCATACCATAAAAAGGAAATGTCCGTACACAGAAAACTAATGGTAGGTGAGGATATAATGTTCTGTCGTTCATGCAAGAGGTTGCTCTTTCAACTGACACTCGCTCAAATCCCTTGCAAGAAACGGTAGAAGTGATCACCGGTGGAGATCAATTCAAGCTGTTAGGATGACCGACTGTTGCGAGTATAATACTTGCAATGCAGCAAGCAAATTCTTCAGACAACGCCAGTCATGGCGCTGATATCACGGCTTGTCACAGTGAATGGAGTTTCTCCTCGTCGTTGATTATGGTCTCTGGAAAAGGAATTTTCTTTAAAGAAAGCCTGCAGTGAGCTGATGTGATTGTTTTTCCTGTTCAAGCGAAATACTCTTAGTGGCATAGCCAGCAGAGTGTTTTTCTCCTTTAGACAAATCCTTCGTTGTCTAATTCAAACTTCGTTCTCCGTTCAGGGAATAAAGGATATGGACAATTTCTGAGCTTAACTTTCGTCCTGTTGTTTGGGTTTCATACGAACATGTTACTGTTATTCTGATTTCCTTACGTTGACTCGTAACCGCATGAATACGCTACCTTTGTGCAGAGTTGCACTTCTGATGAGTTCTGCTATTCCACCCAATGATTTGGCAGGAGCCGAAGCTGCAGAACCAATCGTTTATACATAATATCCTAACCAGTCACTGAAACTCCGTAAATACGTATGTTATTGTTCGTTATGGTGCTACAGATGAATGTTTGTAAGGATGCGCTTATGCTGATAGCGAATCATCGTACAGTTGACAAATCTGACTCATCTGTATTTCGGTGTTGCTCTGGGAATATCTGTCACACTTCGATTGCGACTGTCTTTTAACCATTGACTTTGGGGCCGCATAACTGGTTGTTAATGACAATCACCTCATTGAGGCAGAATACACTACACGATGCTCCCTTCTGGCGTGATTTGCTTTTGATCCTGCTGTATTAAAGAATCAGTTGAGAAACAGGGCAGGAAATAAACTTTCTAGTTCATCTACGTTTCCAGGTCAGCAGGTACATGTGTGATGTTGAGAGATTTTGGTAAGGAACGAGATGGCCGACCTGTGAGAATGGCAGCGATGACTGCTTAATACTGAATGTCCTAATACTGATTTTGCTAATCATACGAGTGATCCAACTTGCATACTGAGTGTCATATGAAAGTAGTGGTTTTTGGGTGCAGGAGTGCATTTGTTAGTGTCATGTTCTTGGGAGAAGGTTCGCGACAGGATTCAGTTTCATATCATTTTTACTGTCGAGACTTAAGCTCATTTCCGTTCATGCGTGGATGTCACCACACAGCGTTACTGAGCCTACTCTCTTCGGTCTAGAATCTAGAAAGTTTTCGTCCTCTAATCAGATCCAGTACAAATCGAGTTCGCCTAGGCAGCCATGTTTGTGATAAAACTAAACGGGCGAATGGAATGGACCATTAATACAGGGTGACTGTGTGGGCAGCTGCTGCATTTGGATATTCCTCGGATGGCCGCAGGCTTGTTTCCATGTTGTTGAAGGATTTACTGGGTGCACTTCGTCTGTGGTCAGTTTTGGCGTTTATGAGCCGGCATTTATTTTCTGGAAAGGTACTCTTTCAAGGGGAGCCGTTCTTCTCTCGGTGGTATATGCTTCCACTTGATGGAGACCTGTCCTTTGCTCACTTCAGAGACCTGTTGTAATTTAACCTGTCACATGGTGTTCAACAGCTCTCGCGGGCATTTCGTGCTAAGTGTTCAGGCGCTTTGTCGAAATGACATTATCGTACTTTTCTAAAGGATTAACAGCAGGACAGTCGCCAGTTTTCCCACCCGTGTTTGTTGTCAGATTTTTCTCTCAAGCAAATTTTATACGAACGCATAATGAGACATTGAGTCTTTTCCTAATTATTTCCTCATTGAGTAAATACTTCTGAATTTATTACCAGCATATGGAACTTTTCATGATTCATCCTCCCATGCAATCCGCTATGATAGTTTTGATGTGCTTTTCACGTTATGGATAACAAGAATCCCTGCTGAACCAGATGTTCGCTGGTTAGCTCCAAAATCCCCTTACGCACCGACATGTCCTTGGCATATATCCGTGCTTGCGTATCTTGTGCCGTGCGTTAATTTACATATGACTGACTCTGTTCGTAAAAAGATGGAAACAGTCGTTTCCTCTCTCGACATGCTTCTGATACTCGATTGACAAAGTATCGTTAAACGTGATTTATTACTGATCTTTTCTGATGCATTCTGTGTTCCTCGCCGACAGAGAACACTCCTCTTACGTTAAAAACATATTTGAAATTTGAGATCAGTCAAAAATGACATTCGTCCTCTGTAATACTCTGAGGAACCCCTTTCCCCAGCTGCATCTCTGTACTACGTTGCATGTTGCTTTCGTTTATGTGCCTTCGTTTTAAGGTGGGTTTTCGTAATATTATAAAGCCACATGAATCATATTAGTCAGTCCTACTAGACGATACATCTAATATCAGTCAGATGTGGACTGTAATTCTTATCACTTTTAGAAGTGTTTTTACTGATAGCCGATTGCTTAATAATACCTGATGACTGATTACCAAAGGTCTGCTACAGATCACAATAAAGGCAATTCTTAACCGTTTACTTAAATATATTAAGCTAGCTGATTATGTAGTCAAATGTTAGCCTTTAATTACGTTAATTACTCATTCCTGTTTGTATGTAAGACCGATCTGCGATGACTGTGTTGTACACTATCGATGCAGCAGCTGTTCATTCGTCCATTTTATAGGTCATTTGCCGTCTTCCAATGAGACCGTAATTTTGTTATTCCCTGATTTTGTGATCTTCTGATGAGTTCATTCCGACATGAAGGTCTGTCCAACATGAGGGTCAGTGG